GAGATTAGACAAAAAATGAATCAGCTCACAGTACAGGATATTAATAACATTATCATAATCACAGATTCTCACATGATCTCACATGATTTCACTGAGAAGCAGATGTAAGAAAACAGAGTCTTTGATGGTGCCACAACCCCAAAGCTTTTCAGAGAAAATAATAATTAAAAAAACCTGCAGACTCAGGCTCAGGAGAAGAAAGTGGTCTGGCTCTCAGGTTCCAGCAAAAGTGGAGATGTGGCTCTCAGTATCAATCTGACACAAACATGTCAACATAAGTATGCTTACTTACTTTCCCCATACAGCATGAATGTTTATAGTTGGTTCACAGCACTTCTACTTTTAGATTTGTCTCAATATGGCCATTGTGGTCCCATTCACACAGCCTTTATGCGAGCTTTCGGATCTTAAATCTGAAAAATAAATAATGCTTAAAATTATGCATGGTCTGCTGCATTTTGGGCACTTTGACAAGCCCAAGACTGAATCCATGATACCTTCACATAACAAGATTATCTGGGCTGATCATCAGTATAGATCGAGAGTTGTGTTTAACTTGGCCAAACACTTTCATAACGGAGACCTGGTATTTCTTTCTTTGCCTGCTGGGGTTGACTTGGCCAGTTCAAGAGCACAAGATAAAACTGAACTCTCCCTCTGTTATTTATTTATTTTGTCTTTTTTTCCATGCTGCCTGCTCAATGAGATAGTTTGTAGACTCCAGGTTGCTAATACTAAGGAGTACACAAACAGCTTTTGGAAGAAATCGTCATGTTGTTTGGCTATTCTGTGTAATATGTGGATTTTTTTTTTTCCTTTGGTATCAAGTCAGTCCTGTAGCCTCAAGAAATGCATTTCAGTCAAGAGAACTCATGCTGCAATGGTTGGAAGTTGCATAACTAAAAAAAGGAAACCTAACAACAGCTTTTTTTTTTGGTCACTGCACTCTTAAATAAAAAATAAAAAAAACTTTGGGAATAGCAGCACAGGTCAATTTCATATCTCTCTAAGTGACCAATCAAATGCAAGAAGAGGCGGGACTTTGGTAATCAACCTTGCCTTTGTGGATACAGGTTATCAGAGCTGCAGCTGTGCTGCTAAGGCAAAACCTAATGCCATTGAATCTCTTTGATCAAATACACATACAAAACAAACTGTAAGACAAATGTATCTGTTTTTTATTTTCATTTTTTTAATTAGTTAAATTAAATTAGATAGCCACAAAACCACCTTTGTAACTTAGCAACAATACGTGCCAGTAAAAGTTGTCTGAACTTGAGTTTGTGGGAACCACCAGCACAAAAATACAGTTTTTGCTAACAGGTCATTAGTAGAGCAACAAAGTCATAATTTTCAGTTAAATTTAACAGTGTCTTATTACTGCAGCCCCTTTGCCTGCCCGAACTAGCTCCATTCAAAACATTATCTTCCTATTTCCTTTGGAATGACAGAGCCAACTATTTACAGCTGTGAGAGTAATCTCTGCCAGCAGAGTTTAGAGTAGCCTGATGTGATATAACATCTGAATGCTGAGATGATGTTAGGGACACAGGGACCACATTTCACATCACTGCTCATAACCGTCAACATTAAACTCTCTCAGTCATGATCATGGTTTTTCATTACAAACATGATTGACATTCATTTTCATGTTGGGCTTGATTTAGTCGTTACTTAATCTTGCTATTTTACAGCATCACATGTCTCACATAACTGATGAATGAAGTAATGACGCATGTCTCGGCTATTTATAATATTCCCTCAACATGTGTGCTGGAGTATGTGTGAGTGTGTGAGAACATGTCAGTGTGTATTACATACTTCAGCCTCCCACCATGCACATTCATTTCCTTCATGCAGAAACAGTCCCCACAGCTGACAAGTCGGCTGCTCAGAGGCGGCGTTTCTGTTCCATCGAGCTGCTCAATGTGCCTCCGCAGAGTAATGACACTAAACACAGGACATTTCTGTCCTGGTAACTGCTACACTCCTCCTGATGACAGAACATTTGATGTGAGGCCAGCATATACATGAAGATCAAACTGGTGAACCTTTTGAAAATCATAAACAATGTTTGGTACAGGATAAATACATTCCTTTTGCATTTTGTAAAGTTATTTTTGCAGACAAAGCAAAGATTAAACAACTTCCTCCCTTTGTTTCAGTGGAGTAACTTTGAAGTAAAATAGACAGATTGAAAGGGGGAAAAAAACTCCATATTGCGTGTATGTCATTGTAGTAACTTCTCAAAGCTCCAGCATTTGATAATGAGTAAGAAAGCGGAAAATATTGATTTTCCAGATGAAAAGTTTGTACGTTTTTGGTGTATGAATGTGAGGGTTTTGTGGTGGTGGTAAGCGAGGCTGTAGGCGCAAACTGGCAGCTGTATTTCTGTCAGTCTATCCCAGGACAGCTGTGACTACTAAGGTAGTTCACCACCACCAGGGTGTGACTGTACGAGTGAATAAATGATGTATCCAATGGAAAGAGCTTTAAGGTCACTGATAAAAAGCGCAATAAAAATCTGATGCATTATTGTTATCTTCACCCCACCCACTGTCAGTCAGAGTAAAAACATTCCATGTGAACCATTTAAATCATGGTTGGTTTACAGTCTTCACCCTTGCTAATTCATTCTTTCAATTCTTTAGCTTGTGTACTCATGGATCTGAGCGTTTGTTTGCATGACTCGGCTTGAACTGGTGTTTATGTGTTCCATTTGTATGATCAAGCATGAGGAGACATGTTCGGGCTCAAACACGTGTGAGCTTGAGGTTATCAGTGTCACTTTGGGTCAATCCTCAGTGGTTGTAATGACACGACTCTCGAAGCACCACTAAAAACAAACTAACAGTTGAGGTGAAAGCCATTAAAACGCTCTCTGATATGATAAACAACTGAAGTGTTGATTTGACAGTCCAGAGGATTGTAAATGAAGTCTCAAAAAGATCACATTTGTGGTAATCAGCAAACTTAAAATCAAGATGACAGACCAAGAAACTGCTGGTTTAGCTCAGTGGTTGACAAAAAACTAAATTCATCTATGTCCTTTAAAGGTTTGATGCAGGTTTTTGCAAAACCTGAAAAACATTGGCATAGCAAGTTTTATTCACACACTACAAGACCATTTTGTAAATCAGGCCATTTTATATATAGACACAAAGAGTTGTTCTCTCATTCAGCTGTGTATAAAAGGAGCTCTTGAGTAATGGGTTTATTTTCGCATGGTTTCTACGTTGTCAGGATTGCATTTAGCACAATACAATGGAACTGAGCATGTGAGCAGACTGGTGCCCAGACAACCCAAATTTAATCCCAGAACTGAAACAACAACATATCTATACCATAAAAATCAGTGACCTCATTCTTAGTGTTTTCCAATGACTGCTGACAGCAGTGTACTGAAACGCTTCAGTGTTTGACCAACAATAACAGGGATCATGAGATGTTCAGTCTATACGTACTCATATCCACATGGAAACCTGGGGACACTGGCACACACAGAAATACTACTACATGTTGCAATCTCGTCCTTATCTATCTGGTCACGTTCCAAGAATGAGCTCTTCTATCTGATGACTTCTGACCTTTCACCTCAGACAACATACAGAACATGACCAAGCTATGTAACGGAACATAAAATCTGAGAATGAACAAAAAACACTCAGTTCATCGTTATTCTGAATCAGAATCAACCAGGAAATTCTTATTCCCTGCCAAGAACCAAAAAGCCAGTATGTAATGTAGATTTACACCATTATATTAACCCTTTGATGCGCAACATATCCACACCCCCTCTAATGCGCAACATGGGTCTAAAAAGACCCGCATTCATTTCCAATGGTATTTCATGCTGGCTGAGTTTTTCTTTGTTCTATCTTTTGAAATAAGTTTATTTTCTGATTGAATATTCCAAGTATTCTTTAAATATCTTGTTTTTGATCACCACTGATCATTATTTCTATTTTTCTTTTCATACTTTATGAAATAATAATAGTTTCTATATTATTACATCAAGTTTACACACATGGGTCAAAAACGACCCATTCATCCAAGTGTGATTTAATATTGAATTACCTAACACTATAACAATAATTTGTTTCAAGTAATGAAATTAGCATTGAGTGGGGCCAAACCATAGACTGTATATACTATGGACAACTTGGTTCTGCCTACCGCCTGTATACATATTTGGAGCCAAAAGCTCTCTGTATTTCCGGGACTTTTCTACATTTCTGAAACCAGAGCTGCGCAGTTGCGATGCGTGCATTTGGGTGCGCAGTTGAAGAGAGTCGCTGTGATGACGCTCAGCTCAAACAGCATATCCCTCTGGGAGAGCTACGCAATCCCTGAACGCCCATAGGCTGTATCCATAGACTGTATATACTATGGACAACTTCGTTCCGCCTACTGCCTGTATACAGATTTGAAGCCAAATAGCTCTCGATATTTCCAGGATTTTTCTTCATTTCCTGAAACCAGCGCTGCGCAGTAGCAATGCACGCATTTGGCCGCACAGTTGAAGAGAGTCGCTGTGATGACGCTCAGCTCAAACAGCATATCCCCCGGGAGAGCTACGCAATCCCTGAACGCCCATAGGCTGTATCAGGTGTCAATCATAGCAAACATGAACCCCTAATAACTTTTAAAAATGGAGCTTCACAGAAAAAAAGAGGACTTAAGCACAAACTAGTCTGACAGTAACTACATGTCAACATCACAACCAGGAGGGATAAAAATGTATGTTCTGTGTAATAAAATTTTTAAGTTTGTCTACAGCTCCATAATCTTTGCTGGCGGAGGCGGGATTTATGACCTATACTGCAGCCCATCAACAGAGGGTGCTGTTCTCGGAGTGGCTTCACCCAGCGAGGAGGCAGACGGCGTCCATTCTATATACAGTCTATGGCAGGTGTCAATCATAGAAAACATGAACCCCCTAATAACTTTTAAAAACAGAGCTGTACAGAAAAAAGAGGACTTGAGCAAAAACCAGTCTTTCAATAACTACATGTCAACATCACAAGCGGGGGGGGGGGGTTATGTTCTGTGTAATAAATTTCTAAAGTTTTTCCACAGCTCCATAAGGTTTGCTGGCGGAGGCGGGATTTATGACCTGTACTGCAGCCTGTAAACAGGGGGTGCTGTTCTCGGCTTCACCCAGCGAGGAGGCAGACTCTGTCCATTCTTTATACAGTCTATGGGCCAAACACTTTTGTATTTTGTATTAGCAACATGTTTATTTGTCATTTTGTCACATACACATGCGTCTGATTATAGCTAGCTGAAATAACACTAGCTGTTTTACCTGTAATTGTGTAACTTTCCAACATGTAATGTCCTCACTCTCAAGGTAACCTAAACCTAATCAAATCAAATCTATGTACAATTATATTTCACAATTGTCATCCAATAATTTCTAAGATAATGTCAGAACAATTGAAAAACCATACTTACATGTATTAGACGGTCTTTTCATGCTAAATGCTACAGTCACTGTATGTGGGTCGTTTCTGACCCATGTATGTAAACTTGATGTAGAAATACAAAATCTGTGCTTCCTCATAACGTAAGAAAGGAAAAATAAAAATGATTATTTGTGCTCAACTAAAACAAGATCTTTACTGCATACTTGGAATAGTGAATGATAAAATTAATTTATGTCAAAGATATACCATAGAAACACTCAGCCATACATGAAATAACATTGAAAATGGATACGGGTCATTTTAGACCCATGTTGTGCATTAGAGGGGTAGTGATACAAAAACGGTTTTTATTCTAAAAGTAAAAAAAGAAAAATTAACATAAGGATGTAGGGTCGTCAAAAACAAGTTAATTGAGGAATTCCTTGAGTACCGACTGATGGAATTAATTTTTTGAGAAGATATATAAAATTTAAACTCAGCCAAGTCTTTTTTGACCCATGTTGCGCATCAAAGGGTTAATCAATGTTTGATCTGTGTTTGTGTCTTTTTTTTTTCTTTTTCCAGGAAACACATAAGCTGATAAGCTACAATAAATAGAAAGGGTTCTTAGTTCTTTGTACTTATTTAAACCAGCACAAATAAGGTACGCATCATCATTTACCTCTTCACCTAGTTTATTTTACTATAAACAGAGCATTTAACTGTTGAATGTATTTACTCCAAGAGATACAACATTTGTCTATCCAGTTGGGACTTTGGATGACTTACTTACCCTCCAACCTAATCACTGAGCCCTTCCTAAGAGTTGACTGTCCTCTGTTTTACAGAATAGTAGTTGTTATTAATTTCCTCATTTGATCTGACCTTGATCTGAACTTTTAGGTGGTGTGATAACAGCATTATGCAAAGACCCGCACAAAAGCAATTCCCACAAGATGCCACAAATGAAAACAAATGTATTTAAAATGAGTGAAAAATTTAGTCGTAAGAGCTGTCAGTCTATCATGAAGACAGATAAAAATCAACCGGCAGGGACATGCTTATATGCAGATGATACAACTGTTTATAGTCCTATTCCAAACAATATATGCAGCCATCACGACAATGTTTTTTTTTTTTAGAAATGACCTTGCACATATTACCAAATCACATTCTGTACATACTACAACAGTGTGGCATGCTCGTAGAGGAGTCCTTGTGCTAAACTGGCCCTCCTACAATCCCAATTTGTTACTGATTGAAAACACTTGAAGCATCAACGAATTTTAAAAAAATGACAAAGGAGGCTCTCAACTGGTTTGCAGAGTTGTTAAGAGTTTTTTTTTTCTTCAGTTTCAAAACTTACTATGCTGTCTTTACACTGTCTTCAAAGGGATTTCAATAATTCACAGACTGTTGTACACAGAGGGTTGTACTTTTGAAGGATGTTAGAAAAACCAGCATAGTAATATCTTGAAATACTGACCCAGGCAAGTTTTTAACTTAGAGAAAAGTTATCTCTGAAGCAAATCTTTAAAGACATATGGCTACTCAACTATCTTTAACAGAGTATAACAACTGGGTCAGTATAAAACCAGCTGTATGTGTATGTTTAAAATACACTCCATTATTTTGGGAGATTTACCACATCTATCATTCTATCAACCCATGAGTGTTTTATATGGTAAACAAACGCTGCAAAGTCTTTGAAAATGAGGTGAAATATTTATACATGCTTCTTTTTTTTCTTTATGAGACTAAAGACAATTGAATTTTCCTTCGTGGATAAATAAAGTTATTTTTCTTTTCCTCTTATCTACATGGTTAAACTTCTTGTACAATTTTCCTCTGAAATCCCAACAATTTCTCTAGCTAATCCTTTTAATACACATTTTCCAGTGTTCCTAGCGTCTGCCAAGTACTTCTGTAAGGCTTTTACAATTCAGTTAAACACAAACAACTACAAGAGTCGTGAAGCTGAATGGAAAAAAGGAAAGCACTTTAGACTTCCTGGAGACTGCCTGTTTACTGTATTCAACAAGAGGTCAGGGAGGGGGAAGGGGGGTGTGTGCACCTTCTGCTAAAATGATCAGTGCATTTGTTTGGAGCACAAATTAATCCAGACTACTTGTTCTGCAGCCAGAGAACTGCTTGCTCCATCATTATATTCATTTATTCATTCATTTTAAGGAGTTCCTCCTTGCCTCAGGTTTTTTCATAGCTTCTGTTACATTATGGACATTTAAACATCCATAACAATTTCCTCCTTTAAAAATGTGAAACGGCACAATTTTAACAACTAAAAAAAAAAGACAATGAATTATCCTCAAGTGACTTTTCTGTGAAATCTCACTCACTTTGATTTGTTTTTGTGACCTCACTTTCATTGTATGGGAGGTTTCTGTCTTTGCATCCTGATTGCATCATTTCCACCCAGTCATTTTCTAGATACAGCAGAGCCTTCATTAATGTTTGACCATTGTTTGTCTGTGTGCTACACGTGAATCTGGTGGCACATTTCTGGCAATGAATCAATTTAATAAATAAATGTAAACAATATTTATTTTATAACATTGACGCTTCAGGCAAAGTGGGATCAGAGTTGTAGGGGTAAACTGAGGTCACTTACCAATATTGGAGGTTTTTCACCTTGTTCTGAAATCTGTGGCTTTTATGAATCTTATCTATACTATTTTTTCTCAATGAGCAGGAAATTTCATACCAGCATGTTAAGTTGTAGAGAAAAAGAGGACAGGTCCAAATGCATTGATTAGCATTGCAAGTGAAACAGCAAGGGTTCAACATACTCCAGTCGGTGACATTTCCCAGATAATCAGTGCTGCAGTCTTATATATAGACTCAATTAACCAACACAATAGATAAGTTAAAGTTAAGTTAAAAAAACAAAAAAAACAAAACATGGTTGTGAAAACGGGAAAGCATAGGCTGGCTATTAAAAGAAAGAAACTCATACTGATGCCTCTTGATAATGGCTCTAATTAAAAAATTGAGAATAATAGTTTTATACTGTAGTTTGTGTTAGACATCACAAATTTGTTTCTAAATATAAATAAGTGCTTTAAATTAATGTAGCACTCAAGATTATTATTTTCACAGAAAAAAATAGCGCAGTGTCATCTGCATACAGTTTTACTCGACTGTTAGCAAAATAGCTTATAATGGTTATGATGGTAACAGTGAAAAGGACTGGGCCTACACATGAACCCTGTGGAACTCCTTTTATTACCAAAAATGGTTAATAATATTAAAATGCTTTGTCACATGCTGTACCAGAGGTTTATGCAGGAAACATTATAAACACATCCAAAACAAGGCCAGGGATAACAGTGCAACACTTAAGGTAAAAAGAGATAAATAAATACTCAGCATCCGTTTTCCATCATTCAGAAAAAAGAACCGGAACAATATGTAAACAGGAAAGAGAGTGGACTAAAGGAAATTTGAACTGACACTGTAATAACCAGAAATGTAGAGGGTATTCCTGTTAAAACACAGCTGTAGTCACATGCAAAGGGAATGAAAAACATAGAGATGGAGGGCAGGAGAGAGAGTTGCTGTTCAAAATGATCCATCAGGATATTACAGGTAACAAAGGAATGTGGATCGGTCAGCAGGTGGAGATGAGCTGAAGCCAGAGGGCAGATGGAGTGGAGGATGAACATGACTTTTGAAGCTGGTATGGGATCAGCTTTTCCATTTTCTATTTGAAATCCCACAGTGAGAAGTGGAAGAGAGTGACTGTGATCTTTAAGTAGTCTCCAGGTCTGACTTTCCTTTAACAGTCAAACTGTAATATGTGAAGATAGTTAAAAAAACAGAAAACAAAAAAAAAATTCAAGGCCAAATCATGAACAGTATGCATTTCACAAACTATTGTTTTACTGTGTTATGGTGATGTTTTCTTTTGTTTCTTTGACTGTGTTTCTGGCAGCAGAAGCTCAATGGAAGCGTCTTCAGTTCAAAGGTTGCCATTCTTCAATCACATCTGGGGAGGACGCTGATTTTAATTGAAAATAGCTCCTAAGTGGCACAACCAGTAGTGTTTGTGTATGAATGGGATAATTAAGCATTAATCGGTACTTATATGAAAGCCTATAAAAGTTGTATAAATATGTCTATGACTGGGTGAATGGGTCTGTGCTTTAGGGCTTAGGCTCAGGACCTGAAGTGGAGTCAACTGAGTCCTTTTTAGGACTTGTGACTCAGCCTGGACTTAAGCACTAATGACTCAGACTTTACTGGACTTGGGAATTGATTGCATACAGATTCGGACAGTGGAGAGAGTGACTGAATTTGTTTTTATAATTTTTAATATATTTAGTTTGGAGCAAAAGCGTGCAATTGTTTTTGCTTGCAACGGTGTTCCCATGCCATCATTTTCAGCAACGGTTCCTGCCAGGAATGCCTGAAAGGATGCTGCAGATTTAGCTTCATAAGACTTTACAGCAAATGCAAGCACAACCAACACAACCTTCAACATGTAAGAGGATCACTGAAGAGATAAAAGGGAGGAAAAGTTTACCTTGTACTAGATGCAACCAGAAGACATTTTCTGCAAGCATCCGAGATTATGTAAAAGTGATTTGAATTATCATAATACCAGAAAAAGCTGTATAAGTCAAGTCCATTAAAATATATAATGTGTTTAATGATAAACAATCTTTACATGTTCATTTTAAACATATAGGAAGATCAAAAAACAATTGTGTAAAAGCATTAAAATCCTGATAGATGAACAACCAACACAAGAGTGGGCCATGTGTGGTTGACATGGCTATTTGCTAAAATACCTCTCTTTTGACCTGTGAGATTTCAATGCTCTGGTGCTCTTATGTGCTTTGAGTGAAGAGTATTTGTGTATAAAATGAAAATACCCGTAAAAGCAAAGAAAAGCCTGTACCCAAAGGGTTAAAACTGTGATAAAGCAGGAATTTTCAAGCTTCAGAAGGTCATCTTGGTCCAGCCTGAGGTCTTTCCTTTGTGCATGCCACGAAAAAGGGCTGAGCATTCTTCCTGCTGAATATGAATCCAGTATGGACAGCAGCATAGACAATGGCAATGAATCTGAGTGAACCAAAAAAAAAAAAGGGAGAGACCTGCAGACATGCAATTCAGTCTTTTCCGCTTTAACCCACATGCCTCATGCAAATGGAAGGGTTGGGATCACATTGTTTGTATTAATACAGCATCTGTAAAGTCTAGAAAGCATAAAGTTTTAGATTAATGATTTATGATTCTGTAAACTGTAGTAAAAGCATAATTGTGAGTATTCGGTGCTTCATTTAATTTCACAGCCTTTTTTTACTTGCTGTCCTACATTCACTGTTAGTTGTTCTGCCAGTAGGTTAACATAAAGGCTGGTGATAACTGGTCATGCAGTTACAAGGCTGGCGTGTCCTTAAACCTGTGTCTACTGGCATGATAATGGTTAACTTTTTAAACAGGAACTTTATCTTATTACTACTACGTAAATTAATCTTGATAAAAAAAGAAGTTTGATAAAGGAAGGGAGCTGTGGGTGTAATCTGAATAAAAATTCAGGAAATGAGCTGCATGATTACGTGTATCTAATAATAGTGCCTGACAAAAGCGATTAATGTAAGTAAAGCATAATGCCCCAACATGAAGGCTGTTTCTACTTATACTTAACAAAAGTATTACAGTATTATTTGTAAACAAACCACCATTTGTTCTCATTTTCAGGCATATCATGTGGAGTCATGTGTCATGGTGGAAAAACACAAGTTTTTGGTGGTGGTTGGGTAAAAGGTGACCAAATCAACATTATACTTTCTCCAGGTCTGTAGATGTGCAATAATATGAAATTCATTAGTCCTTGATAATGTTGTGTTTTCCAAACCAAAACTAGTACATATTTTCACTCAAGTTTTACTGAACTAGTGGAGTTGCTGTTCAAAATGAAGAAAGTCAATGTTTTTATACTAGATGCTGGATTGGTTGTTGCCCCACTGGACTTCATGGGTTCAAATGTGAGCATACTGCTTCAGTGATGCTTTGGTTGTTGTAAGCATGGGTTGTGAAGTTGCACCTCAGGGTTGTGTCTTTCCATCTTGGTGACAAAAAAATTACTGTACAACAACATAATCAAACCCAAACCCACGTCAGATCAGTTCAATCTGCAGAGAGGATTCTAAAACCTTTAAAGTATGCTGTCTATCACTTTACCTTGGCCTGTTGCCCACTGTGGAAAAACATGTATAATATTAATATTTCCTCCTAATATGTTTGGAGAGCATAAAAGTTTAGGTTTGTATTTACTGGCTGACAAGTCACCATGAGAGAAAAGAAGAAAGAATGGAAACAAGAACTGAATAAAAGGGAAGTCAAACAAATTGATGAAAACACACAAATCCATCGCAAACAGCACGCAGTGTGGGCTTTATTCGTGTTATGGGACGGGTTGAGTGAAATGAAAATGTAAACAGACTTTGAAAAGAAATAAACAAATGGTGGTTAATGTGATTTGTTTCTGTATATCAGGCTGTTGTTTTGACATAAACTGAATACAAATTAGATGTTTAATGTGAATTCAGCAAACAGGCAGGCTGATATAACCAGACTGATGCAACACAAGTCCCTCCAACCAACAAATCTGAGGGTCAAGGTGTTTAGCTATTTAAAAATCATTAAAGCCCTCAAGTCAATATTTTCAACTTGTCTACTTGTGTTTATTTTTAGTTGGTAGCCAGCTGTCCTCTGATTTAAGTCCAAATCTTTCTCACCCTGCCAGGTTTCTGGTCCGCATAACTATCTACTCACTATACACTACGCTGCCCATGGTGCTAAACTCTAATTCTAATAAAAGCTTTGCTCGAATATCTGCCAAGTTTGACTTTTTTGTTGAGGTGACGAAAGGCCAAGTGTTTTGATTTATAACACTTCAATGTTTGTAAACACAGGACTATTTTAGCTCTAGTGTTTACAAACATCACTATGTGATCAAACCCATCATTTTATATGTAAACAGTAATTTACTGTTTTTGGGGGGTTGTAGGTTGTTCCAAATTTGTGCCTCCAAACTTGTTTGTTTGTATTTGGATGAGCACTTGAAACTTATTTATCTAATATAATTTATTGGATATCACATGAAATGAAGATTTAAACAAGTGGAGATGACTTTGTACTTGTCTAATGGGAAGAACTGAAACTTTAACTGAAGGTTTATTGATTTCATGTTGTAATTTGTAAAAGCTGACTTCACAATAGTGTTTGTTTGTCTATTGTTTTTTATTCTGGTGAAACATTGTGTGTAATGATGTTATTTCATTTATGTGTTGTGATAAACAGATCAGGACTCATGTACATTTTAGCACAAATATAGAAATTTATTTCAGAAAAGGAAATACATGACTTACACAGTGCATGTCAACAACACACACCTTCAAGTGAAACACAAAAATCCTGGGGCACAGACCTTTCTTCACAGCGAGACGTCTTGATTCCAGCCACACATACTGTACACCCATCACAGAATTGCACTTGTGAAAACAGGCAAATAAAAACATTCAGTCTTTACATCACTCAATTTCCTCACATACCTTAGCCACACAAATTACCAAACTTCTCTCCTGTTCGAGACAACCAATCACGTTCAGAGTCTCTCTTGCAACACCTCTGTCGATAGCAGCTCAGTTCCTCACAACACTTACCTCAAAATTACATCAGCCAAACATATTTTATCTGATAGACATGTGCACTTTACATGGGGGGAAAGAAAGGGCTGCATGACTCAAATCTTAAAAATTAAGGCCATTTTGAATCACGATTAATTATTTTTTCGCTTTGAAGGTGCAAACGTTTAGTGTGCATATTTATTAAAAATATATCAGCTACATTTCTTTTAGTAGAGAAGCATTCGGTCGCCTTGCACTCCCTGTACTTTCCCTTCAATATGAAGGACTTAATCAGCTCCATTTCCACTTTTTCTCAGTTTACAGACCTCACATTGAGAGGGATATCTCAATCAGTGCATATTTTACAATTAGTCTGTGTTTCAGTGGGCAGGCACTCTGACAAGGCACATCCGTATTTTACAAAAGAGGAATATGTATAACATCCAAATCCTTCGTCCTCTAACCACAGAACATCAAGTCTCTCAGGCCCAAAAAAACAAGTCACAAAAAAAGTGTTACAACAAAAAGCAGGTCAGTTGAGCACTTTACAGTTAGATTTCTGTCTGGTTTGTGGACTACCTCTGCCAAAAAGGCTGAGGTTGTTTGTTTCAGCCAGACTTCTGGCTGAGGGCCAGTCTCAGCCGAAACCCACAGCTGGGGTTGTACTGAATGCCCTGTCAGTGTCTGTGATCTTATTTCAGTACCATTTCAGCAAACACACTGGTCTTTCACCAATAGGGCACAGTGCTATCGATCTGGCCCCAGCTCTGCCAACCAGGGAAGAGTCCACTTGACATGCGTGGGCTGCCAAATTGATCAAACTCCATCTCCAGCACCTTCACACCACTGTTTTTGTGATCTGATGGCTTCTTCTGCTCAGCAGAGTTTAGGGGCATCTCAGTGTTCAGGTCCTTTCCGTCCCAACCGATGCGCTTGAGACCATAGTTCTGGCCATCATTGTTGTCCCAGTAGATCTGGTTCTGGGCTTTGAAGCAGATGCAGAACTCAATCCGATTACTTGGTGGGATGTGGTTGGGCAGCTCTAGGACGAACGCAAAGGTGTCAGTGTCCTGGCAGCTGTAGACGTTATTCATGAACGTGCATTCGATGTCGGTGAAGCTGGCCCATGAGTCAAAGGTGGCGCGCAGAAGCACAGACTTCTCAAATCCAATGTTTCGGACCTTGATGGTGCCGGTCAGGGAGCGCTCCTGCAGTGAACAATTTTCCAAGCACACTGAATTTTTAATCAGGCGGTTTCGGAAATCCAGGTAGTCTGCTGAGGGTTGTTTAAAGTCCAGAGCAAGACTTCTCACTGAGCTGATCTTTAGATCCTTTGTGGCAGCTTCCAGGTCTGTCATATCAAACTGCAGGTCCTCTACGATCCCTACACTGCACTTGTTCTGATACGGCTCATCATCAAACTTTGAGAAGACATGAATGGCAGTGAGTGACATTCCCTTCATGTCGGCAAACACCACCTTCTTCTTGCCTGCTTTGTTGTTCCAGCCCTCACAGTCTCTGTCTTCCACAGCCTTCTGCTGGTTGCTGAGGCAGGGCCGCAGGGGCTTGTACAGCTGCTGCTTGTGGCTGCAGGTGGACTGGTTGACTCGGTTCTTGGCCTTCTGCAGGTCCTCATAAGAGCTGAGGAAACCCCGCAGAGGAGGTGGAGAGTGGCTGATGTAGAATCTCATGGCCACGTCTATGGGCATGACTGGGCCAGGCATTGCTGATGGGCTGAAAGACCTGAGAACACTGAGGGAGGAAGAGGGGGAGAGAGGGAGGGAGGTGGGGACAGAAGGAGAACGTTGAGAACGCAGCCTACTGAACGCGGTTCTACGGAAAAAGAAGTTTTATAAAACTAGTCTGATAAAGAAAACCACTTTCACAAGCATAAAAACGCCATTTATAACATGCTGTACTTTTTAAAATAAACTGTACTTCTTGTTCTTTTGTGGCTCAACAACTTTTATCAAACTTAGACCCTGGATCAGAAACACGCTCAGAACTAGAGTCCTGTGGCTATGGATCCTCTCTTCAGCTTCACTGCCCATGCTTCAATTTTGCAAAAGTTCGCACTTCTCTCTTAAATGATCCTTACCTTGTAGCGCTCATGAAAGAAACCGTCGGTTCCAAGGGGAGAAGAACTTTAAAAACTTTTCGGTCCTTTTTGACTTGCAGAAATCTATCGAGCAGCTTCTTCTATGAGTGCATGCTCTCGTCACACCCCCTTTTTTCTTCCTCCCCTCTTCTCTTCGCTTCTCTTCTTGTTCTCTTCCTGCCTTTCAGTGCAGAGGTTTGCTCAGCACTCAGGGATTTCAACTGCCACATAGAGACGATTTGCATATGCTGTCATATGGTTTCTCAAGCAGCCAATGAGAGTTTAGTGGAATTCGATGCCAACCAATCAGCAGAGGCTTGAACTGGATGCCGGCCAGCTGATAGGGGAGTGTCGCCTTCATGGGCCTCATGGCCAGGATGCCTCAGCCTGTTGCTTCAGCTGCTATTTGAGAAACATGATGGACCCCTGCTGGTGTGAGAGATGATCTTCAAATGACTCACAATAGAGTGTTGCATAAATGGCTCTCCCCGGCATGACAGGGATTCCCATGAGGAAGTCACAGTGACTTTGTAGAAATAAAAAATGATAATAGAGACTTATTCAATCATTTTAAAAAATGACAAACATGCAATAACAAAGGTCCCAGAGACAACAGCAAAAAGAGATATGCTTTAGTAGTACTGTATTGAAACAAAAAGCTCATTATGGTGCCATCTCCAGCTCCAACATCATAATAAACACTATAAAATTCAAAAAGACAGAGTGTAAGGTAAGAAAAAAAGGAAAGGAGAGTGAAATGCAAAGAAACAGTGCTTTAAACGGAAATCAAAGAAACATAATACAGGGGTAGAGTAAAATATTAAAATATAACTTATTTATGTGTTACTTTCTTTTTTGATCAAGTTACATAAGTATCGATACAAGAGGAAAGCTGATAGAAATCACACAGGAGAAGACGGATAAAGAAATGATCCGACTGAGAGGAAGTATGTAAATAGAAAACGCAGGCACATTTGTTCAACAAAACAACTGTCCAGTAACTTGTTCCCATGGCAGATGAAAGTTTTAACATTTTACAATTATAAATAGACTTGAGTTATATTAAGATATATAAAGTTCACCTTTAATTGGAAAAGTGTGAGATTTCTTTAGACTTTTTGGATCCCTGCTCATAGTCACTGCTGTTGCTGTTTCGCCTGCCTTACATGTTGACATCGATGCTATTTTTGATCATTTGCTTTATTGATTTTTTCCTTACGTTAAACATTATCCACAGACCAACATCAACTTTATTTGGAGAACAGAGGCTCGGGAGGGGATGTTTTACCCAAACACACAAACGAGTAAACTAAAAGTGTTTTTCACAAGGCTTAGAGTTTAGGTGTTTTGTATGTACCCCTTTGAATATGGGCCGATCCATTTTGATTTTGACTTCCAAAGCCTGGTTAACATCTAGTCCATCTTTGTTGAGCTCTGTTTTGGGGCTGGACTGGAACCAAAATTTAGATTTGGCCTTTTTTCGTGACCAGACCCTCAAAAATCCTCTCCTTAATCACATCAACTTCCCCCCCCAAACAAACCAGAAGGTACGGACAAAAAAACACTTCGTCAGTGCGTCACTATTGATTGACCTCCTAAAAGTTGCTGAGAAGCACATAGTATCCATACCCAAGTAAGAGGAAGGATTAAGAAGCAATTATTCAAGCAAAACCCAAGTATTTGTCCTCATGTCATCAGGAAATGTGTTTCATTTCTCACTGAATGGTATCAAAATTTTAGTCAAAGCTTAGAGGTCACCATAGCACATTTTACGCCATATCATTTGTGTTACAACCCTTTCCTTCATTTTTATTAGACGAAACTATAATGCAATTACCAACTGAAAATTTGTCTGTCACCTTATTGAAAATCAGCCAAACCTTTTTAATTATTTTGTAACAAACATGTTAATTAAGTAGAGTTATCAACCATAACTTATTGCAGAAACTCTAGTTTGATTTTGTAATAACAGTAAAGGGGGCAGATCTATAGGTTTGTACTGATATTTTAATGAAATGCAGACCTAGGTCACACACTTTTTTGGCTCGACCAAGCTCACTATGGTTCCAGCTTAACTTTCTATGCTCTCTCTTTCCCTCTGCTCCACTATCACACATCTGCTTTTTGGTCAATACGTTTACATGACACTCGAGAAAACTGAATTATTGCCTTACTGCAGTGCATGTTAACACCTTAATCCAACTATAATCTGAGTTTGACAACTCTGAGTAAGACACCCAGTTGATGGGATTGGAATTCGATTTTCTCTACCATGTAACCAGCGTAGTCGGAGTATGATTGGACAATGCATGTGCGTGTGCACCACGCCCCCATAACCCCAGAACAAAAACACCAGAGAAGAAGTGGCACTATCATTTAAAGAAGTTTCAACTCAGAGGCAACTGCAACATGGCTGAAGGATGAAAGAATGTCCACTTTTGGAATGACTAGGAGAGTGTTGTTAAGCTTTCCCACTTGAAAGAAAGGGACATTTTAAAGTAAATGGATGGTCCCAAAACGAGGAACAGAGACCTCTTTAAGAAAGTTGCTGACCAGATGAGTGACGCCGGCTTTACTCGAACCCCTGAACAAATCTGCATTCAGTGGAAACACCTAAAAAAAAAGAACATACTACCTGAAAAGACCCATATCGCCCCCTAGTTTTGGGGAGCAGGTCACATTCACGTCAATAATTCTGCGGTGTGTAAAAGTTCAGAACTACATGAGGGAGGTACATTAGCCTCTGTATCAACAGTGACTTTGGATTCCGTTGGTGTTCTTCAGTCCAAAACTATTAGGGTTACGCAGTTAGAAGAAAAGTGAGAGGTTGGAGGGTCAGAGCTGTCACGATATAAGATATTCACCATGCCATTATTGTGAACTTAACATATAATGAAAAACAATTTCATCACCATATTATGCTGCATCTGAAAAATGAGCTGGGTCTTGACATCATTATTTTCTAGAAAAAATGTATAAGGTTTATCAGCTGCCATTTGCATAGGCCCATAAGTAAAATGCCAAGGATACTTGGTCCTACTCACCTTCACATAGATACCCTTGTTAGAATTAGCATATTTGACCAACAGTTTAATTGGTTGATCCTATTTAATTCTGAAATTTCCTTTAAATGTTATACAACTGTAAGCAGAGTTGCTGCCGCTACTAATTGGATAGCTTTGTGTTTAAAACACTCCTTTCACCTGATCAAAGAACAGCTGAGTTGATTGCATCAAACTTTGACTCGCTAAGATCAGTTTCAACATGGCCTCAATTTTAAAGTATCTTAATGTAAAAACTTACAAAAGCAATTAAACTCAGATTTTATTTGTAATGCTGATGGTGGTTAACACATACAAAGTTGTATGCAATACTGGGAACATACTAAGTTTCTTCTCAAAAGTTTATGTTTATGTTTCATGTGATTAGATTCACATTTACATAAATTTAGAGCAACTTTTAGTTTTTCAAGGTTTTTTTAGTTCACTTGATGTGTGATGAAATCTTTTTTGGCTGAAATTTGGTGCGTGCCATGTTCTCTCTGCGTGCGGCTGCTGTCACTTTTTGTGCTGATACACATGAGACATCCAGTATTGAATGTTTACTCTCTTTGAGCTTTAACTATCATGCAGTGTTCAGGTGATCATTCCAAAGTTAGAACTGTGCTGCCTCCAAATAAACATGCGAAACAAAGGTTAAACAAACTGAAATCAAACTGAGGCAACAGCTGTGTGAGCTTATGAAATGGGCTAAATCACATGAAACATGAGAGGTTGACTAATACTACAGATTTCACAGCAGTGGAAACCATCACATTCCTCAGACTCAGAAGATGTTACCTCAGTGTGTGTTTCATTATTATGGTCAGGGATGTTTATCAGGGGCACTGTTGCGCAAAATTTACAAAAAGGGAATTATCTAAAACCAACAAACCATCACTGCTGATTGTCATTCCTCAATAAATTGACATAAAGACACACACGTAACACTTTCTACAAAAACAACTCTTTTATTTTTTTCCATTTTCAATGATGTCTCTAATTATTTTTCAAGTTTAGTATAATTAAGTCACAATGATACCGCCCAGATACCGACATATAGTTTGTTTTCTAGTGTTCTTGTTGGTTGCAGAAACAACTGTATAGGAGCCATTTATCATTGCTATTATTTTGATAGTGGAGCTTGGAACACTAAAGTATTTTAGTCTTTCTAATGTTACTAATACCATTCCATCTGATTGAAGTAATTGACATGAAATAAATTCACATCTTTTCTGAACCAACATATTTTCACAAGGGTCAGACTAGGGCTGAGTCCTAGGATGCACTGGGCAAAAGGCAGGTAAACAGCAGGCATGGCCATCACAGACAGAATAACCTTTGCTGTTGATATTATTAATATTGATCTATTATACTGATCAATCTTGCCTAACATGATCTGACATGCAGTGCAAGGTGCAAGGTGATAAATGGAACCAAACCAAAGAAGTCAAGGCTAACTACAGGCTAGTCAAACTTTGAACAGTTTGTTCTGTATTTTACAGAATAATCACCTCAAAGTGGGGCTGTCACGTTTCAGATTTTCTCCTCAGGGATACGAAATCCATGAAATACCATGATAACAATTTCATCACAATATTTCTGGAAAACTTAAAAAAAAAAAAAGGAAAACGCAACTGATCAAATTAAGGAAAGGCAAGACAAGAGTGGAGGGACACATGAGCCATTAATTTCACCAATAAACAGTTAACATTGATGTTACTATCCATTTCTAAATATGTTCAAATCTGTGATTGATTTACATTTCTAGTCCTGTAATCTAAACTTGTTTGAAAATGACGTTACGTCATGAACAATTGTCATGCTTTTATTTTATATCAGTCCCGCATTCTCTTCATTTTTCCCACGGTAAACGTTTGATTTGATTTTGAAAATAAGCCACTTCCTACAGATCCCAAGTTACACATAACACTTAAAAGAACAGTTAATAGTAAAATTGTAAAAATGTTTAATTGATAACAAACCCACAGAGATACAAGCTCTAATTTTAATTTGGGATCACAGTAAATCTCAGTTTTCAAAAGTTTCTCTTGGATAGCTACTATGGCTAGCCTTTGACTTATGGTGACTGCATTACTTTTATTCATCAAGCTAACACTGGTAATATTACCCTGATAATAGTAGTATGGGCTCTTTGACACACAATATTATGAGCTTTAATCATAATCAAATATTGGATTAACTGTGATTACAGTAATAGTGATTGATTGTAATTAAAAAACTGATTATTAACAGCAGAATTTTCTCCCACTTTTAACTTGGACACTGATTAGTAACCTATATATTCATGAGAAATGTATTTTTAATTTCAAAATATATCAACAAAAAATAAATAAATTCATAATTTTACAGTTCATACTAAACATTGGGTTTCAGTTGTACCATGTAATACAACTAGGGAACATGTATTAGCTTTGTATAATGTGAAATGGAAGATCCTTAGCGTTGACTTGAGTTTTTTCTCTCGACTTCTATAGATAGATGAAGAGAGAGAGAGAGAGCAGGGGAGGTGAGCCCTTGCTGTTGACAGTGTCAGCTCTTGCGGCTCTTGTGTGATTTCTGTCCAGCCAGCTGACGCAGCCACCGTTTACACAGTAACCACCCTGCCTGCAGACAGCACGGATCAGGAGAGGATCAGAGGCCTTGATTGGTTGACAGCTGTTACACGACCTGACTGCTCGACTGCTCTGAAGTTACATATCACTCCGACAGGCACTGTGATCAGGCAGACTGAAGTGAAATATTTTGCATACCTGCACAAAAGCCAGAATAAAAATAGTCATGATTTATTCCAGGCATAGTTTCATTTAATCTTCAGGATGATACAACTGAAGTGGTTTTCGAAGTTTGGAGTGAAAAACATCAGTTTAAATGTTGTATATTTCTTTTTCTATTGGTTTAAAACAAACTGAAAATCAGACAAATAAATGTTAAACCTCTGGGAGGGAATGACAGCAGGTTGTAAAAGAAACTGAATTTAATATAGATGTCACTATATGAATCATAAACACAAACTAGTTCATCAGGAAGGAGGTCAACAGACAGTTTTGCCGTTGGTTTTATTGTTACTTTTTAAGCTTGCCAAAAGCTGATTAGGGAGGTGCT